AACTTATATAAMATTTTTAATTCAATGTTTAGATTTTCATAAAAATAAAACTAGAAATCCATAACTGGTTTGGTATAGAAATTCAAAATTTTTTCATAATTTTTTTTTTTGTTCTCTCAGTTATTTTTATGAGTACTGCTAGTTTTTTATTTTAAATCTAGTACCAATTCCATTTACCAGTACCATTGTCACAATTTACTTATTTGAAATTCAAGGCATTTTTACTGCTTCTAAAATTATATCAGAATAATTTAATTAGTTTTATAATATTGATAACACGTAATAATCATAAGACTACAAATATTTTATTATTATATGATATTAAAATAAGTGTAATTGAATAGAATATTATGACAAATTTTCTAAAATACATTATTTATTTTTAAAGCATGCTGTGTTGTTTATAAGTAGCTTAATAATAATAACTACCTATGTAATTATTTATGTACAATAACTATTATTTGTTAATTTGTGTATGAGAATGCATTGTTATTTATGTGCATCTTGTGCATTGGAGAAAACCCATTTGCATTTTATACCGACAGGTTGGATAGACTTGAGAGATCGTTGGCAATGCTCGGCCCTCGTGGAAATACTACTGGAATGTGGCGCGAAAGGTAGACTGAGTGAATGTTTTTGAATGAAACACAACAAACACTAACTCGATAAATCATTTAAATCTTTTATTTCTTTCTTACTCATTTTTTATTAATGCTCTATTTATATGTTGTTTTTATATTACATTTATTTTAAATTTCTAACACTATTTTGCTGTGCTCTTAATGCCATACTATAGGTGTGCGTGCTATGAACAATTTAATACATTATGTTTTATGCTGTTATGTACCTATTATTTTAAATTAACCAACTTATATTTAAAAACACCTATTTAGCATTTTTATTGATCATATTTTCACATTAAGTTTAGGAACTTTGATTGGTAAGGTAACACAGTAGTGTACTGATTTATTTTTTAGTTTCAATAATACTACTCTAACATCACTGCATGAGTAGATTTTATTATAATTTAATTTAAATTTACTATAAGTATTGATTATAATTTTTATTATTTCTCTCATGTTTAATTTGGTTATATTTATTATAATTGTGTTATACAGTTMTAAAATATTAACCTTTTGCCATTAATTATAAATATTATTCTAAAAAATCAATTATAAATAGATAATATGTACTATAATATTAACTAATAATTAACGTTAAGTTACATTGTGTAAGCTAAAAGAATATATTTATAAACTACTTTATAAAAAAATAAAATTTTAAAATTTATCTGTTTATAAGACAATGTAAATAACAGCACTAATTTAAAATTGTATGTTTTTAACTTATAATTTGAACGGCATTGGCATTTGTACAGAAAAAGCCGCTGGAAAAAGTAAGTTAAATTAAAGTACACAATTACCATGTACTCTATAGATTGAGTTGTGTATTTTATCATTGCATATAATGTGTTGTAAAATACAAATAGTTCTTTTAAAATAATAATATTAATTTTTTAATTTTTGATTTTTTAGCATGTTTGAACCATTTAGGGCATGAGTTGATTGTAGGGTATACCTAATAATCGTACTGACTTTAATTAGCACATTATCTCTTAATTTTCTAGTGCACTGTTTTATTTATTTTTGTATATTCATTTTTAAAAAATAATATTAATTGTTTAATCTTAATTTTAGTTTCCTAGTTAGTTTTTTGGTGGACGCCCGTGGAGGAGCAATGCGAGGATGCCGACAATCAGGTGTAAGAGTGATTATTCCACCACGAAAGGCACCAAGTCCTATGCGAGTTACATGTCGATATTTGCGGAGAGATAAAATGGTAAATCCACCACCTTTGATGGAAGGAGAAGCATTAGCCAGTAGAATCCTTGAACTTGGCCCAGCTGGAGCCAAATTTTTGGGGTATTTCTTGAGTTATAATTCTATATTTCAGATTTCATACTGCCGTACCTAATATTGTTTTAAATTTTAATAAYTAATTTTGTACAGACCTGTCATTATTGAAGTACCTCATTTTGCGTCATTGCGAGGAAGAGAAAGAGAACTGATTGTACTAAGGTCTGAAAATGGAACGACTTGGAAGGAACATAGTTTGGAAGCTAACGAAGAAGCAGTACAAGAGGTACTTAATGATAGTTTTGAAGGAGAAGAACTCAGGCAGATTGAAGACCTCAGAACTAGTCGCATTGAACGAATCCTGACATTAGATTTTCCTCAATACTTTGCTATTGTTTCAAGATTACGTCAAGAAATACATCCTGTTGGTCCAGAAGGTGGAGTTATGTCTTCTACTGTTGTACCACAGGTGCAAGCATTATTTCCAACCAATGCATTAACAAAACGCATAAAAGTTGGATTGCAGGTATGATAAATTGATAATGGTTCTCATGGTCATAATGTAAAGTTTTATTAAAATTATCTAGGCTCAACCTATTCCTGTTGAATTGGTAACAAAATTGTTTGGCAATCGTGTCGCGGTGTCTCCTGTCGTTACCATCGAACCTCGCAGAAGAAAGTTTCATAAAGCTATTACTCTGACTATTCCTCTACCACAAGCCACTGCTAAAGGAATGATAAATCAGTATTCAGGTGATGCTCCTACATTGAGATTGCTTTGCAGTATGTCAGGTCAGTGAACATCTACCTTCAAGTTGTATTCTTTAGTTGATTGGACTTACACTAAATATTACATACATGCAGGTGGTCAGTCAAAAGCCCAGTGGGATGATGTTACTGGAGGAACACCATTAACTTTTGTCAAGGATTGTGTAACTTTTACTACAACTTTATCTGCAAGGTTTTGGTTGATAGACTGCAGAAATGTCAGTCAAGTTAAAAATATTGCTACACAGCTCTTTATTGAAGCCAACTACGTTCCATTCATGGCAAAGTAAATAATATAACAACAAACTCATCTAAGTGTTTATTTTATCTATTTTATTATTGCTTGTTAGGTTTGTAGTGTTTGCTAAAAGAACAGATACTATGGAGGCACGTCTTAGAGTATTTTGTATGACAGATGATAAAGAAGAAAAGACATTAGAAAACCAAGAGCACTTTGTTGAAGTAGCAAAAAGTAGAGATGTCGAAGTGCTGCAAAACAAAAATATATTTGTTGAGTTTGCTGGAAATCTAGTACCTATATTTAAAACTGGTGAACAACTAGAATTAAATTTTACTGCTTTCCGTGAAAATCGTCTACCATTTACTGTTCGCATTCGAGACCTGGAAGATACTAATGTCGCGCGGATTTTGTTCATGCGTGAGCCCAAAGTAAATCGAGGTGATCCTGTTCAAACACCTTTATGTGTGTTGAACGTAACCATTCCTGAAGATATTGTTAATGTAACTACCAAATCTGAATCAGATTTATTAAGCCTTGATCGAAGTTACAATTTTTATGATAATGGTTTTGGTATGTTACTGATCTAAATTTTCATCACAAATATGTATAATAATAATWATTATTATTTTACAGAACAAATTGATACGATACGTAGAGCAGATATCCGTTTATCAGATATTTCAAATATGCTGGGTGATGATTGGCCGTCTTTAGCAGCTGAATTAGGGATTCTTCAATCAGACATCAGTATTATCCAATCAGAATATCCTGGTAATACCCAAAGACAGGCTATGGTCATGCTTAGATTATGGTTACAAACGTTTGGACAGCAAGCAACTGGGAATTCTTTAGAAAAGGCATTACGAACAATAAATCGTGAGGATATAGTGAATCTGTGTATTCACAATATTGAGATTGTAACTGATGACATGGAAAAAGCGGTAGCTAAAGTACAATTAGATCAGTCTGGATTTGATTCTCTAAAAGAGGAATTAGGGCCATCCAGAGATGGATCTCTTGGTCGAAAATCTGCTTCTAACCATAAGGTATTAATTGCTTATATTTGTTTTTGGATAAACTTATAATAATATTTTGTTTTTAGAAAGTCATACAAGGAGAAGTAAATAATATTAATCAACCCATAAATGTTGACGAGGAGTTAATAAATGCTCTAAACAAACAGATGGTAGTTGATAAGGTTGAGGTTAAACCYAAAATTCTAGGTAAGTTGTTGTAAGATTTATTGATGTTATTTTTCTTTACATGTTACATCTATTAATRCTTAACAGATGATAAATATGCTGCGGAGGTTAAAGAGTATGATTCAAAGATATCCAATGGGGTATCATTCAAAGTAAAGACACCCCCACCAAGCCCTGCTGAGCAATCTAATATAACTGAGAAAAGTAAACTTAATATAGGTAATTCTTAAAGTTATTGAAAATTATTTCAAATATTTTAATAGGCAAAGCTGCTTCAAATAGTTATGACAGTGATGTGTCTGAAGTAGTTGACGAGAATATTCTGTAACAAATGGACTATCAAGTAATTAGGTAATTTATGTCCATTTATTAGGATCGCATAACAAAAATGTAAGCTAATATTATGAGCTATTATTACTCTTAAATTAAACTTTTTTGCTAATCTAATGCACAAGATTTAAAAAAAAAATTAATGCTGATTGTTTTTACTTTTCTTTATTTTTGTAGAAAACTATTTAACTATATTCTAACCAAACTTAACTGCTTAATTATGTTTGTATCAAAAGTACCTACTTGATTTATAAAATGGTCAAGTCATTTTTCTTTTCTTTTTTGATATTAGACTTATATGTATTTACTATTTACCTAAATATTGTATTTGCGTTGTTAACATTTTACAACTGGTTCGTGACCTTTTTTTACATTTAATTTGTTGTTATTATTTATATCTTAGGATTTATTTGATTAAATYAATTTTTCTTTTTTTTCTTGTCTATTTTTAATTTGTATACAAAGATTAAGTACTAAATTCTATTTAATTTATTTATTTGTGCATAATGAAATTCTAAATTATTTATTTATATTATATATTATATAATATAATTTATTTATATATAAAGATTAAAAAAAATATATATTGTAATTATTGTGTAGTACCCTGCTAGTACAACACACATATTTATTTCGTTGATAAATTATTTATTGTTTGGAAGACAATTGGGTGCTTGACTGTCTTTTTATAATTAAAAATAAAGTCTTAACAAAAATACACGATAAACAGTGAAGTTAGAGAAGATATTATAACATGTTAAACACACAGTGTATGAACGTTATACATATGAAATTATACTCAACCTATATTGATTGTTTTCCTCCTAGGAAATTGTGAAAGATGGTGGTTTTCACAACGAAGTCTTAAGTCTAGGCAATGAACTCTTATTGTCACATTTCGATTTCAACATTAATTTATAATAGTAGTAATACAAACAGTCCTGCAACAGTTGCCGAAGATTTTGTGGAGGTATTTATTGCTTTACGTTGCAGCTGACTGCGTCAAAACTCCGAGTCCCAGCCGGACAATTCGTCTGGTGGCACGTCTCCGTCTTCGGGATAACTATCGAAATTTGACGAATCTAGCGGATTGTTGATCTGTATAAGGTTAAAAATACGATAAAAAACCGATCATAAACTATATAAAATATATGTCGGATACGTGAGCTACACGGTGTTTGACCGTCGCTGCAGCTGTAGACTTACGTGGGGGATGATGGGTGGAATTATGCTCTTGTTCCTCAAACCGGTCCAGTCGAAACCTTTGAACCATCTGCGCGAAAACGATAAAAATAAAAATATATTCGTTGCCGAGTGGTAGGCAAATTCTAGTCCGTGTTTCTAGAACCTATCTGCCACCCATACTTTTTTTAAAAGTGGATTTAAAGTGAAAGCAAACAAAGTTAGCATCTTTCTAAACGGCCTACTCACTCATGCCGTCTGATGTCTTGTATGCCTCCCTTTTGATAGCCTATCCTTTCCGTCGGATCGCTTCGACACAGCTGTTTCACGAGACCTTGAGTCATTTTGTTCATTTGTCTCGGGAAGTTTACAGCACCGATACCTTTCAATATCGCGTTGTAGATGTCCATTGGATCTTTCCCGCTGAACGGAGGTCTGTAAACAGTGTAAACCAATAAAAATCATTWAATGATGTATATTATTTTTTAGCGGCCTATATATAATCAGTAACGTGTATGGAAGTAGAGTCTTTGTATTTTTCTAGCACTTACACAAAAAATAATAAAAACTATTCAAATATAAACAGTTTTCTATAACGAATTTTATACTTTTCGAATGCATAATAATAGGTTCTCCTTATCTGAAATTATTTCGTCACCAAAATATTTATTATGATATTTTAAATTGATTATGTTTTGGGAAAAATAGGAAATAATTGTATTTTTATAATAGGTACTGTAGAGGAAAGATTTGCAAACATTTAAACATAACATTAGATAGCTTAAATTAAAATATTATACTGGCATTTATTTATAATTTTTTTTGTCATCGTAAAATTTTATGAATTTACAAATTTAATATAGTTTAATTTTACCATCATATAAAAATATATTTCAATTTCAATCTTCCGCTCTTACTTTTACTCCTTTCTAAAGCTTTTCAACTAATGCAATTTTTGGTAATCTTCCAAGACGCCCAGAGCGTAAATTGTGTACATGTTTAATATAAATTTATTATGATAAAAAAGTCACCTATGTGGGTCGTTTCATTCCGGAAGTAGTTGTTCAATGTACAATTAAATAATATCGCTCATATCATGCCTACTCTTACCGTATTTGCAGCGTACACTCTACGTGTCTATATACATGAATTAACTGTGTAGAAAAAGAAACAATCAATTTTAATCTAATTCGCATGTCTCATCTAGTCATTGATGTAATTTTCTAATTTTTTTTWAAATATATTCCATACCTATCGTATTTTTTTGTTGACTTTTAGTTTTTACCTTTTTTATCGGTATTTTTTCGTCACTTGTCATATATTTGTTTTACGTTATACTAAAGTTACTTTTTCGATTACATTTTTTTTCTTATCAGAGTTTTTGTAGTTAATTAGCAGCGTGTAGGTCAACAAGACTTTTTGATATTTTTTATTTTCAACGCACACTCGGTAACCATAAATCCATTAATCATAATACTCAGATATTCATGTAATCTAAACTTAAGTCATATTATTACGGTGAATATTTATACGTTTTTATAAGATTTCAAATTATATATCCAAATGCGTATGACTATTATTGTTGTTTTTATTTAATGTAAACTTTGTTATTCATTTTGAAAACAAACATAAAAACCAACCATCACATCTGAATCGCTCTAACTGTAGAAAGTGGATAAGATCATTTTTTATAACTTTTCAAGAGAGACAAAAAACAAAATATCGACGTGACCGTTTTTTTTTGTAAATTATTACTATTTTTGCACTAAACGACGGATTTACATGTGGCTAGTGAAAAATGATAATAAAATAAAAATTAATAAAAACGGACTTRTCCTTTTTCTGCTGATGACGGTTCATCTAAATTCTAAATATCGGCTTTTACAACCATTTAGACATTTAGTATAGGGTTCAGTTCCGGTACCGGTACCATTACTGCGGTTCTTGTCGGTTCGTTTTTATAGTCTCCAAACTTAACAATTATCTATCTATAGGATGTAACGCGTGGATAAGTTGTACTTACATTCCAGCCAGAAGCTCGTACACGAGTATTCCCAGAGCCCAAAAGTCTACAGCCCGGTCGTGGCCTTTGTTCAGCACAACTTCCGGGGCCACGTACTCGGGCGTGCCGCAGAACGTCCATGTCTTCTTGCCTCGCGGTTGCAGCCTTTTCGCAAATCCGAAATCCACCTGTCGCCGAAAGAGAAAATTCTTAATTATATATTATGCACAATGAATAATAATAATTATACRAGAAGGTCCTGTTTGGACTGATAAAAAAAATAATTCAACAAAATATCAGTATTATGCACCGTAATAAATAACAATGAATAGATTCTATAACCGCATGGAATTTCCGTGTAACGACATAGCAACATTTGTGTTCATCAATTCTAATTCTGTGTATAACAACAATTTTATGATAGAGTGAATTGATCTATTTGCAAACTTAAATGCAAGAAATGAAGAAAATAGTATCTGTGTTTTCTCATGGGTATTTTATGTTATGCTCATAACTTACTCGAGGATGGTATAAAAACACYCATTTGTCCCATTTGAAAAAAATAGTTATTAATTTATTTTGGTCTTACCATTAAGTAGAAGAGAGGAGAGGTTCACTCACCACTGGTAATATATATCGGTTCATGTCGTGTAAAATATTATTTTTTTTATTGGCTTACCAAAATGTGGCTGTAAAAATGTAAGCGTGTCAACACGAGATACCAATAATACCATGATACCTCGAAGTTTCAACTTTTGGCAGTGTAGTTACACTTTGGTTAGTTTGATTATTGATTAGATAATATTTATGATTCTAATAATATTATACTAGTATATTTATTAAATTGAAATGTTATTTTGGAATTTATACGCAGCGCGGTGGTTGTGAACCTGTCTCGAACCATTGAGCCTCCCTTCTACTGCAGGGTTAGTGATAAGTCGTGGTAACATTATATATTTGAATTACAAACCAACCAGTTTCACGAAACCCTGTCGATCGAGCAACAGGTTTTCCGGCTTCAAGTCCCTGTAGACGACGTCGACTCCGTGTAAGTAGTCCAGTGCCTCCACGACGCACGYGATCACGAAACACGCGGCGTTGTCGTCGAAACACCTCCGGTCCCTGAGGAGCGTCCACACCTCGCCGCCCAGACAAGCCTCCATCAGCATGTACACGTATCTGCTGTCTTTGTACGTCTGGTAAAGTCTATGGAAAACGATCCACAGATTAATGTCATTAAATAAATTTCATTAGCAGTTACAGGTATTTCGTTTGTAACACTTGCTATTGTTTTTATTTTTTTATTTTGTACAGTAATAAATAGTATCGTGTAAGTTATATTATATGATGACTGATGATAATATTATTATTATAGTGATTGAAGTATGAAATATCTCACAAAAACGTGAAATATTGAAATTTTTCCAATACAAATATAAATTATGATTATATTTATCAATAACCTAACCAAAGAAAACCATAATTAATGAGTAATTACTAGTTACTAATTGCTTTCTAAAAATAATATAATTAAATTCTGTTTCTAAATATTATGATAATTATATGTAAAAAAAAAAAATGTATAATTGAAATATTCCATTTTCACAATTTTAAATTTCATGAAATTTTCAAACTCTAATTAATAATAATGATTATATAATCATGTAGTGTGATGTATATAGGGCATTGTGGTGGGTGGTTGAATCTGTTAAAAAAAATCATGTAGACGTCAGCGTAATTTAATTTTCGATTATTTATATAATTATAACTATAATATGGTTGATAGATTAGTATATTACACTAAAAACTAAAAAGTATTATGCAAAGTACTTATTATAAAAAGTACCTGCTTTACAATATTTTAATAAAGAAAATTAATTTCTTGCAATGTCAAAAATGTGATCATATCTTATATCTTACTATTTAAAATTAATAGGTCCGTAAAGTGTTCTACATTTACAACATTTGGGAGTGAGACGTGTTAATGTAATAATTATAATTAATTAATATTTTAATGTATTGTAAATTTGTACATTATTACTCACTTGCCGATAAACGGGCTCGTACACGATTCTAAAATGGTCTTCTCGTTGTACACATGCTCCTGTTGCTGCATGTCCACGATATTTTGTTTTTTTAGTTTCTTCATCGCGTACGATCGGCTTCTGTCCAATTTCAGACACACCAAATCAACCCGACCGAAGCCGCCCACGCCGATCGTGGCGACTGTCTCAAAATCTGTCAGCTCCACGCGGAACAGTTCCGGGTAAAATGTTTCTGAAAAATGGAACTTATAGGTACACTCAGAAGTAGAAATATTTCAAATATTGCACTTATAATTTCTTGATCGATATTTAGAAAAATACTTCTAAAATGTATTTWAAATTTTTACGCAATAACGATTTGTATACGTGGTACATGTTTACACAAATTGTTAAAATTTATATCTGATGTTTTGACCGAACAATAATTTGTACTTACTAGTTTTGATTTCTACCGGTGACTGGGCCGATGGCTTTCGCGGAACTTCCGTATACTTTTTGTTTTTTAGTTCCTCTAGATTACCGATGAAATGTACAAATGGCCTATTCACATATAAAAACTAATTTTGTTATTTTCTGTCCATTTATTATTATTGCGGTTACTTATAATAACGCAAAAATCCAAAGTGTAATTATAATAATAAAAATATTCAATCATATTTTTAGTAAAAAAAAAATCTATTAACTCTCTGTCCAGCGTGAGACATTCTGCTCCCGGATGCATGGCTACTACGTTGGCAGTCCTCTTGTCTTTTTTTAACAGCGCCACTTCCCCGAAAAACTCCCCTTGTTCCAATACGCCAAACTCTTCTTCTTCGTCTTCGCCTTAAAATATTAATATTATAATTTTATCTTGAAATTTTTTCTAAGTGAACTCGTACACAATATAACGTACCTATTTATTTTTATATCGATACTCATRCCTGCATTGCTGCATATTTGTTGTAATGAACCCGAACTGCAGATATGAGGACTAACAATAGAATAGGATTTTTTTGAATATAACCACGAACTCCCATGATAAATAATTTTTTGTTTTTTCATTTATGATGCAAATATAATATCGATTTATATAATAATACTTAGATATATTATGTATTGCGCGGAATGCAAACGAGTAATTCAGTTATTGCGATTTGTCGTTAAGGAGGACTACTACCCATAATTCCCATAAAACAAATCCTTAATTACCTAGGAATTTTGACCATTTAAGAAACTGTACCGGCATGTCGAGTACTCATATTGACTGAGTGTTTAGTTACTGCTTATATTAGTTTTCATGTATTTGATCAATATTAATTTACAAAATGTTTATATTATACCATTTTAAGTGATGTAACGGACTAACCTTTATTGGTCTTTGTGACTTTCACTCGCCCTTCGCTCAGTATGTAGAACTTGTCGCCCAGAGTGTCCTGTTTTATGATATAATGCCCTTCCGGATAAAATTCCTGAAAAAAAAAAAACGGTTTCAGATTTATGAGAAAATTACGGTGGTTAATTAATTGTGTATTTAATATCCAGCATGTGTTATTGCATGGATTCCTGGGTACACCCATAGTACATGTGTATTATACACGTTTTGAAAACTTTCAAAAATGTCAAATGCGTTGAGTCTGACAAATTTCTGTGTGCATTGGGAAAGTTATAAGCCAAAAGGTCGTTAGATTTCCGACCTTTTGTTAAGGCATGAGTAAATCTCAAAGTTTGTTTTTATTTGTATATATTTATATATGTATATATATATATAGTATAATATAAACCGATTTAATACCTACTATATATCTATACATAGTATATATGTATTATATAATATTTTTTTAGAAATGAATCATACAATTCAAAGAATTTTCATTTTAAAATACATAATAGGTAGTACCTATGTAGGTTATATTAATTGTTCACACAGAATATACATATATTGTATCTATTATTATTACGCAAATAATAAATATCGTAAATAAGCCTGACGTAGATCGTGATATTATCTCTAAAAAGTTGCATTGTTTATAAATTAATTTAGTTAGTTTTTTTCTCCGTTATCATTAAATATTTTATTATTATTAGTTATATATGAATTATGATAGAGAGCATACATCATACAGGGTAAATTAAAAAAAAAAAAAACAATCTTGATCATCTTAAATATTTTATGTATAATTGTTTATTGCCCCAGTAATATTTAAAAATTAAATTATCTATTAATACAAAGCTAGACATAATAATAATAATATGTATTATATATATATATATAAATCGATGTTTGTCTATTTGATAGCTAGAGACTCAAAAACCATACTAACTGTTTTCGATGAAAGTTGTATTATTAAATTTCTTGAAGTCTGGATGGTGTTTTTGGTTTATCTCTTCAACTTCTATAGGTAGCTTAATGGTAGCTCACACATACATTTAGTGTAAGGCTCACAAAAAATGAAGTGAGCCTATTTATGCCTTATAAATAGGTTTATGAGGTTGTCATTTACACATAACATTAATATTATCAGTATTATAATTAATGGATGTATCGCATACGCACCTAACAACTAAATATTGGTAGTTTAAACCAAAATATGCGCTGCAGCTGTAAGCCAGGAGAGCTGCTGAAATATCTAAAGAGCGAGACATAATACGACGTGAAGCTGAACGCTAATATTGCAGAGTCGATCAAAAACACATCCGATCTATTCACAACCGTTTTATTTGATTTTAAATATTYTCGGAACCAGAAACTCTGTTTTTTAATGTAGTTAATAACATTTGCGCTGAGTTGAATTAYTTGGGATTTGGAACCAGCAATCCAGCATAATTGACAATTCGTGAAGTTTTGAGTTAATGATGTGAACATCATACTATATTATTTTTTTAATACCTATTTAAGTTTATTTACATCCACCTACAAATGAAAATTCATAATTTTATATCTTATAACAATTTTCCTATTCAAACTCTTTTATTTAACATTTTTCATCTGTTGATCTTTGTATTTGGTATCTGGTGTACTGGTATAAAGTTAAATTATTATATAATTTGTGTTTGCGTAATTTCAGTGGTTTAAATCAATACTAAGTTGTAATATTACAGGTGCTACTTCATATTATTTTTAAACTAAGAAAACTTCGTTTAAGATCATTGTAGCCCCATTTCAATAATATTCTAAAGGTTCTAATGATGATTTTATGAGTTTATGACACGACATAAGTATGATGGACTAGCGAATTTATCATATAGTATCAAACTATTAGTACCTATGATTATGTCTGGTAGTCAGTAGATATTACTGAGTTGGTGATAAACACTACCACCACTTGGATAGTTACGTTATTATTTATAAATACTTTATAGTCGAATGCAAACCCTATAATAATATGATATGAAAAATTACTTAAAATTGTTTGATGGCTTTTAAAGTTTTGAAAATTAATATTTTAATTCGTGTAAATAGCACAGAATATAATTATTAGTCATTGCAGTTACTAAAGATACGTATGTATAGGTATGAATTAATTATAATGTTAAAAAGTTTATTAATTTCACTAAACTGAATAAGGAATTTATACCCACATCATAAATTATAATGACAATTAGGCAATTTTAGCTGAATAGTATCTTGTTTATGATTTCGTTTTCTTGATCCTTATAATGTATGTATTTTGAACGTATCTAAATACCTAACTATTGATTAGTTGATATACTAGTTGTTTATTTTATATTTTTGATGTAATATACAAGCATATGAAGCTGCTTACCTATTTACAATTTAAAATTAAAACATTTATACCAAATAGTAAATAATTTATGAGTAGGATATCATGATATTATTACGTATTGGGATTGATTAAAAAAAATATGAATTAATTGTAATTTGTTATATAATTTGTATCATTGAGTGACGTACCTCTTTCAAGACGTCAGCGATTTTCGATAAAAACTCTTCATTGAGATCTTTCATCAACGGTACGCTTTTCAAAAATCCCACTCGTTCGTCAAATCGCTTCATAGCAGAAGTCTTCATGATTTGCTGATATGCCACTCTTTCCAAAGTCCACACTTTGACATCTTGGACGGCTAGAAGCACATACAAAATTTGGAGAACCATAAAATTTAAAGACACTTTACATTATATATAGTATAATAAATATACAATCACTTACCTCTCACCGATGCGGTACGCGGACAGTTATAAAGAATGGCCATCTCGCCGAACACTTCGCCAGGTCCGATGGAATCGACCACCCGTCCGCTCTGGATCACGTCGAGCATTCCTTCCTCGGAAACATACAAACAACACCCTGCAGCAGTATAATAATGGCGTTTAAATATTATTTATAACCGTTTCAAAAACGTTATACGRCTAAAAACAGTTCAAAGTTTCCTCGTTAGACTGCAAATTTTTAAATTGCATGAACACTAATATCCGTACCCGGATCGCCTTTCCTGATGACATATGCCCCAGCTTCAAAGTCTTTCGTGTACATAACGTCCACAATCTCGGAAATCTGGTTGGTGTTTAGATTCTTCAGAAACTGATTTTTGCACAGGGCCTGTTTGATCAGATGCTTGGTTCTGAAATAAGCATCCGATACATTATGTGACCACGTGYATAGGTAAACAATTTAATATTTTTAATTATTAAAGTAAGATATTAAAAATAAYAACTTTTTTCGTACTTGATGGATTTGGACTGTTTAGGAAGTAGCATCGGCGTTTCTGACGAAGTCGAACATTCTCCCGACACCCCTTTCTTTTTGTCCAGTCGATGTGGTGACGATTGCGGCGATGGCACAAGTAATTGATTTGATACCGCGTTCTCCAGAATATTCTACTCAAACAAAATCCAAATAAACATAAATATATGATAAGTACACCCTCGTTATAATAATATAGAATGACTGAAAGAGGAAATTGTCAGAGTAAATCATGATCTATATTGAAACTGAAACTCGAAGCATAACAATACGAATATTCGATCCACTCATATTTTATAGTCCTATCTATTGGGTTGGATAAAAGATAAAAGATTAAAGAATAGGGTTCAGATTTTAAAATATAAAAATTAATAATATTAACATTACTATTATCAGTATAAATATTTTGTTATACATTTAATTAATACAATTGAAGAAATATCATACTCTAAAAATAATGTCTAATTATTTCACTCTTATCTTCTTATTTTCAGTGGTTATGAATGAAAATTTCATTAAACACGAATTATGCATAAATCCAAACTTTGGCTTACTCTAACCCGCAGGTCAGTTTTGTAAATAGAAAAAAACTTTTAATACAAAAAATGTTTTTAAAAAATAATAATGTATCCGAATATGTAGTACTAGTAAAAAAATAGTGTTTCCATTGTATCACATTGTATAACTTGTAAATTTAATTTATTTTCDAAAATAAATTATTATCTAATTATTACAATATAGGTGATGGTTCTACGGCTGCATTAAGGTAAAACTGAGATAAGACAATAGTCCATTTAACTTTTTTTCAGTGGGATTTAAAGTGCTAAAAGCCTAAAAATAAACCTAAAACGACAATATTTATAAATTTTTATGGATAGTATACTATAAATTATTTTTAAAGCACAAAATCRAATTTATGTATTTCATTATATACATATTTTTTATATTTTTTACATTTATCCCATGCCCACCCTCATTTTATATTTGAGGAAATTTTCTAGTATTTACTACTATAAATAAATCCCCCTAGACGTAATTATCAAAAACCTGCAACGTCACTCTCCGCGTTCGACTYGCAGACATCACCCGAGTCGCGTGGTAGAATTTAAGTAACACTTATATAAAACTCGATCAACGCTCGTGTAGCTGATATAGCATATATCACTGATTTTAATTTAATTAGGTTTGTTTGCATATATCATTGTAGTTTTTTTTCGTAATTTCAGTTGGGGGAGAGCGAAATGATAATTTTGCCCCCTCTTACATACAATACTTGCATAATTATACCACAGAAGGGAAACGACAAGCTGTCCCATATAGCTCACTCACTGTTTCTGACGTAGTCGTCACGTATGTTTTTATGCGTTGTGGGATCGCATTATCGCTCGACACCCAACTCGGTGATTATCAAGTGGGTCAATAACTTCAGTATTTATTAGATAATAATATACGCGCTRGTGCAGGAAACTATTTTGTGCCATATACCACTTATCACTATAAACACGATAGTGGTGGCCGGGTGTACCAATGTGTACAAAGGATACGTCATACAAATGGATAAAACACAATACTGGTAATATAATAAAAGCCGAAAGTTTGTATATGCGCGCATAGCCTATGTTATTATATTATATACAATATTTGATTCGCATTACATCGAATAATTTTATATTACCTACAATGTTACTCGTTATAGGAAAGATTTRGTAGTAAGTTGGTATACTGTACAAACAAATTATATCTGAATATTGTACGGAACAAACACATTGCTTTAATAAACTAAAACACCACAAGGCCCACACTTTTTCTTCGAACATAAATAATAATGAAAGCCTGGTAAAGAGTGCGTATAGTGTTAGCTGCATTATTGTACCCCTCGAGTTAGAACTATTATATGATTAGCATATAAACGCGTTTCTTATACATTATAGTGGCTCGCGGTATTTTAGTTTGTACGAGGTCAGCACGTGTATATAATAAACGTTATTATTTAGACTAGACGCGTGCGTATGAAATATATAATATATTATATTCGTTCGTGTTTCGACAACTTAACAATGTCAACCGAAATAAAAGAAAATTGCGGTGCCAGGCTAATCGATTTTAGTTCCTACTCGAAAAGTTCGCCATTGATGTTAAGTGTGGCGGCGTATACAACGTGTGAACCCACGTACCTCGCAGCTTTTAACACCATCATGACCGTTGTAAAAAAAATTGTGTTTTTTATTTTTCGGCGGATTAGCGTTTCTATAAGACGAGCGTGACCATGTTCTTAAATGAGTGGTTAGAACGAAACACGTGAACGTGTGAAAAATTAAAATTAATTCATGGCCTATCCAAAGTAGGTACTTTGTTAGTATATGATGGCCAATCTAAATTCTAAATAGGTATCATGGCCCATCTTAAGTGCTAATATTATTGCACTACACTATCAAAGCCGACATCATAAATAAAACTTTTCAAATAGAACATCATTCATATASGTACTTGGTAAGAGACATAAAAACATTCTATTAGCAACGAAACAGTTTTTTGTTCCACCCGAAAAGTTGGAAAAACTGAGATTGGCCATAATCGTGGTTATTATASACTCTACGAGTTCCGATACTGTATAAATAATAAATATAATATTTATATGTATACTTGCTCCCTCACTGTTATGCGTATTTACTTTTTAGATATCCGTTGCATCTATATTAGTGTTTAATAGTAACGTGGCAAAAAAGGCTTTTCACAGTCCTCACGCAGTCTCTGTTTGTTTCATTTAAAAGAGTGATTCGGTATGATAGGATCTTCTCATCTCGCTTTAAATTTTGAACAAAATTCTGTTAGCTGTTTAATAGTAATACAGCCATTTTAGTCTTGATAGATTAAAGAGCGTTTGCTGGTCACTTTAGGCTAAAGTAGTGTACGGTGGCGTATAACCAGGATTGTAGAATGGGGCTAAGAATAAATCAAACTAAGTTTTTTTGGCCTATTTATCAAAATATTTTTTATTCCGTGTTGTTTTCAAACTCGCGAATCCGGTACGAATGAGTARGTATATATCTGCAAATGCCATAGCTATATACAATGAATTAGATAATGTCTGTGTGCGCTAAAATATAATCTGCTGTATAAGCGACCGTACCACAGAGATTTAAAATTTGTACGTCACCGCGATTATCGTCATCGAGTCGGGCACACCATCAATGCATGCGTGGTGGGTGATGGGTTCGCGTGCRTCGAAACCAGGTGCTCGATCATATTAATATTGTTATACGGTATCAGACTCACTCGTATGTCTTCGACGGCCCTGCCCAGTTGTYCGATGGTCCGRTCCTTTTCGTCCATGGCAGCTTTGAGGAGCTCCACATCTCTGGTCAGTTGGCTCACGGCCTCGGTGGTGGAGGTGGTGGTCATCTTCAGGTCGGGTACGCCACTGCGGGTCGACTCGTTTGTTTTTCTGCTGCCTCCACCACTAGAAATCGCGTTGCCCATGAACAACAGCAGCGCGTGGCACATACCGTAGTCCTCCTATACATAGGTATKATTATTTCGATTATATATTATATGTTGTTTTCTACCTGCGGGTCACCGATTGCTGTCCGTCCGACTTACGTGCGTGCGCGGCCCGGTTACCCCGGTTATACCTAGGTATTATGCACCGAACGGTTATAATTTATTATTCGCGCTTGATATTATACCACAGTCGCGGTAGTCGTCGTGGTCGTGCTACGACTCTTCGCCACATACCATCATCGCATCAACACTCCGTGTWCTACAACCTCGCTGCAACTGGTCTGGACTTGATGCGGGTGCACCGCGGTCGCCGTCCATCATTCAGTCGGCCTTGCGACGTGCACCCACCGAGTGTGTATAAATAATAAAACGTTGTAAAATAATTATTATTATCGCCGGCGCCGTTATCGTGGTCGCCCCCTATTAATATACGTACATACGAGTACCCATTATAGTATACATTAGTTTGTGTTAAAATACGTGTGTACTGCCACTGTTTTTTTATATTTTTTTTTAATAATTGGGTCACAGACCGCCCACGAACACACGATAATAATACATTATAACGTTATACAGGGTCTTTTAAAATTGTGTGCGTGCGATTGCCCCGAAACTCACCKCCGAGAAAGCATTTCTGTCACGCTGAACACCTTACTCAATAATAAAGATATTTTTTATTTTGCCGCATATACGTACGATAATATAATATGATATGTTATGTACAGTACAGTGCATATACCACGCAGCGATATTACATTATTATATAATATACAATCGTTTGTTCTTTTTTCTACAATTTTTATACGCATAGTACGCTGTACTAAATTGTCACCCAAATCGCACGAGTCATACGGCTCACCTTCACTGCCGGCAGCGGACCAATRGCTGCGCCGCGGGCACAGGAAAACGATACTGCTCCGACGCGGATTTTGCGCACCATCGCATGCGACTATATAACATATGTTTTGGGTTTATGCGCATATAAATGTTTATTAAATTTAACATATTTTGTTTACTCGAAGACGATCGTCGTTTATGGTATMGTTGTTGCGTGTACATTTTATTATTATTATTGTACGATCTCGGGCACCGCGAAGACGTTAATCTTTCCATAAATAATTTAGGCAAATGTATACATAGGTTTTACACAATTGCAACTGCAGGAAGGTGATTCTTAGTTTTCGTTTTGTTATTGTTATTCTAAAATATTGGATTTCACACGGGACAATTCAATGTTCTAGTTTTGTATACAACCGCAGAGACCTGCGAGAGACATTGTGATAAAAAGGTTGCATGGCGCTACAATATGCATACACATTATAGTATATTACATAAATTATATACCATATATCTGGGGTAAATGGGCGATMCATTTTAACAGTTTTAAAAATATTCATTTTAAACCATTTTAAGTCGTTACAAAATAACATTTTTCAAAAAAAAAAATATATATTTTTAGTATTATATCGTTATAAATTATAATTATCTAAGTTTTTTCTGTTCTAAAAGACAACATACTTTTTAAATCTCTAACTATTTCTAATTCCTAAGCACAATTTTATCCTGGTTATTTTGTTCCATAGAAATCAGATTTCGGACAAGGATATAGGTAGCTTATTATAGTTAAGAATTATTTTAAGTTAAGTAATGTGGAGTTCATAACCTTGTACTATTCCAATTCGGCTATCAAAACCTTAAATAAACTTATTACTCACAAATTACTCATCTAAAATTCGATTTTTATACGTCTTCGGTGGGCATACTCTAAAAAGTATTTTGATTTGAATTAAGTAATTAAAAATGCATGTTATTGCCATTAAAAAATGCAAAAAAATAAAAAATGATAACATAAAATAGTAAGACATAGGTACAGTTTTATTAAAAAAGTTGTTTTTTAACGACTTAAAATTATTTAAAATAATAATTTTTAGAAACGTTAATGGTTTTTGAAACAATGAGTGTCTTACGTTAAATGTACTGTAATAATGATCGTGTAGACTGTATAGAACCATAAATCTATAGGCCTCTGCACTATATTATAATGTAGGTACCTAATATTAAATATTATCATCATAATTCATAATAATTGTAATATGTTATTGTTCATCGTATCATAATCATGACGAGTCTTTTATTTAATTCCGTTTTTTACGTAGGCATTTAATTTTTTGAAAGAAAAATCTTCACAATAGTCCCCTTCTATAATATAAACTTATGACCTACCTATTGGCTGTTATATATTTATATAAAAATATATTCGACTCATCTAGTCAGTACAGAATTTATATAACAAGAGTAACAGCTGTAATCAGTAAGGTCATCGCAGGTTACCTTAATCAAAATTGAATTCAAATCATTGTAATATTAATACATGTTTCTGTATTGTTTCCGTTTTTTATAGGTATCGGGACACCAGATTCTTACATTTGTATAATAGATATTGTTTGACATGTTTGATTTGTTTACCTGATTGTTATAATGTACTAATTTAATGTTTCAAAATAATTACCTTTATAAACTGATTTACTTTTATTAAATATCAAACAATAATTATGCAATGAAATCAAATTCGTTGAAGTAAAAAATATCATTATCTTTAGATATTGTTGTTTATTGCGTTATTAATAATCACATTTTTATAATAAACATATTATGTTTTACTGAGGTATAATATTTCGAGAAAGAATTGCATATTAATTAAATTTTAGAAATGAAGCTTATAAAGTTTGTTGAAATTTAATTGATTTGATAATCATTTAGTTTTGTTTGTTTTTTATTCGTCTGTTTTAAAATGTCTTCCAATTTTTCAATTTAATTTTATATTGTGGTTTTTATTTGCAGGTTTTGAATTTARAGCTCGCGAACGATGGTTAAAGAAAAAGTTAAATAATTATTATACAGTACATAAACATATAGTAGGTTAGATATTACTCAATAAGAACAAAAACCTGCATTGTAGTATAAAGATATAAGCTAAATTAGGATCAAATAAGAATAAAGTGGTGTTCATTCAAAGGTACATCGTTGGAAATATGACATACATCATACACGTCACATAATAATATATCACACAGTCGATGGACTATGAATAACATCATCCGGTTCCGGTAGTGGGATTATAAATGTATAATACACAGGACAAATCACCGGAAGTGCTCATTTCACTTATGCCAGCGGTCTTATAATAGAGAACACACCTCCACAAAGATGGTTGTTGAATCGTTATGATATTATGGTTTGAAACGTCATCAGACCAGACTAAAAGAGTATACAGGCTAAGAATATTATATATTATACTGCAGGATGATTCACTATGCCCACATCCATTTTTCTTTACTACCGTAGTTATTATTCAAAATCTGATTTTGGGAATTTTTAAAAGGAGGTATACTATATTTAAATGTAGATTATATTTTTGAGTATCTACTTGCTCTAATTTTTGTATCGTTAAAATTATTAAGTAGATGATTTTTTTTTTTTATTTGATGTGATCCGACCGATTAGTTTCAGAGTTATTAAACATTTTTTTTTAACCCGAACCGAACCGAACCTAGAATTAGTTTAAGTTGAACTTAACATATTTATCATTCGTTTTCAAAACATATATAAAATATTATCATTAATTAATAATTATATAGTAACTATTTCTAAACAACCACTATACATTTTTAGTTTTCAAAAACAACTTTTGAATTGTATAAACATTTAGTCTTTGAACTATCGTAGCTATTAAGTCCAAAATCTAGTTCAACAAATATTTTTAAGTTTGATTTTCGAACAGTAAAAKATGCTTGATAGTTCGGTTCGAATTTTTTTCATACCGAGTTCGAATTTCGAACCGAACCGAACATTAAGGGTTCGGTTCGAGGTTCAAACAGTTCGACCCATCACTAGTTTTAACGTAAGTTATTTTGCCCCGAGGCATGTATACATTAAATGCACCACTGCGAGTATAACGTAAATACTACATGAATCACAACCTACCAAATCATAGAAAATTCATTGGTTGTATAGCWAATAACTATGGCCTATGGGTTCAGSATTCTAATTTGTATAATTTTTAATTAGGTGCTCATTAAAATTGAATATTTTATGGGTGAACATGCATTCATATTTTACTTTTGTATAAGTATATATGTATACGTATATGAAAACAGCAAAATAATATAGGTAATAATATTAATATGCTATATTGCGCTGCATTACTGCAATCAATGGTAGTTACTTTACAAATGAGGTAACTAAGATACGTTTGTTCAAAATATAAATAGAATATTATTATAAAGATTATTCGTTACATATATAATGGTATATTTTTGTTTTTATATATAAGTATGTCAGGGCGCATAAACCCGTGTTCAAGGTGTTTAATTGAAAATTGTATTATTTCAAAAATAGATGACGATCCTAGGGATGAAGTAATAAATGACGTAAGAAACTTATCAATGTCAATATTATATTATTATAGTCGTTTGATTATCACCTAGCTGTAGACGATATAAAATTAAATTATACAACACAGTTATAAACTTATACATATTATAGGCAATCGTTTCACAAGTAGAAGACAAAACCAAAAAATTGCTACGATTGTATTTAAAAAAAAAAAAAGAGTATTTGTCCAGTTTGGCAACGAAGAAATGTATACAAACGTCTACAACTACAAAACCAATAGTCTACAAGTGAAGTTTACGTATTATAATTGTATAGGTGTAATATGAAACATTTGTATAGTGACGCCAAACTTTAGGTTAAGTTTGAAATTTAAATCGTATACGTCTGGTTGTAAAATATATACAAAATTGATTACCTGCCGTCCAACACCAATATTTTAGAAAACCAATCAGCTATAGAGTACTTATATAGATATATTTAATAATACATTTTAATAGCCGWTAATATGGTTCAACTTCCTTTTTGGATTAGGTACAGATGTCTATTTTTTTTTTTCAAATGCGCTTACTTTCAAGTTTTGTCGAGAGTGTGCCTTTATTATACGAACATTTATTCATAGCGTTGTGTATCAAAATGCCGTTGAATAATAACATTCAATTGAATAACATTAATATTAATGTTCATCATGTATATTATCAACCTTCTGCTATGCTGAAGCAATGATCATCTTTATCTGCACTTTTTTTCAATTACACCTCTATGCAATACATTTTTATGCACRAATTTTATAACAATAATAAATTATGAATTAACCATGTCCGTGTGACTATATCACATAAATTATTCGCCTATCACTCTATGTTACGATAATTACGTTATAAAATATTATTGGAAAATTCGATTTATAATTATATTACTATATTATATTCGGTACCTACTAATACTGGGATTATTTTAAAAACWAGCACTATTAGGAAAGTATTAATGATTTTTTTAAATTAAATTTTGCTATTTTATTGATATAATTTTTAAGATTTTATTTTTCGAATGACGAGACATTAAATTTCTTATTCTGAACCGAGATATTTTACTAAAAGTTTTGATACATAAAAATAAAAAAATAAAAAGATATAAATAAATGCTGTTTTTAAAATTTTAAACACGTAAACGTCACAAATATTAGTAATAATATTACAATACAATKGAAATACTAAATTATACATTTAATTATCGAATAACTCGAATTCTTGTCTCTTGAAGTGTTTTTAAGTTGTGTTTGAGGGCTGCATTTTGATAAATACATGTCCTAAATTTATATTTATTCTCTTGACATTCAGGTTATCGAGACTTGACTGTACAGAAATTTAGCGACTAGTCAATCAGTGGTAATATTACATTTATTATTAATTATACACCTACTGCAGGCTACAGTATTGTTTAAATTTAATGTAATAAATTATCTYCGGTTATTTATTTTTATAATGATAATTTTTTTCTTAAAATACAGAAAGTACATTAATCTTWATATGCAGCAATAAATGATTAAATTCTTTGAAAACTATATAGTTATTTTCATAAAAAAACAATAGTCAATACATAATAAATATTTCATTACCTTGGTAGGTATGTATTTATTTTTAAAAGTTAATTCTTCCTAGTATTTATTATTATTTGGAAGAATGATCGTAACTTCCTTATTGAACTTTCGTTTGGCAGGTAATTAATATAGATAATTTAATAGTATCTAAATTATCAAAGTATAAAACCTGTTATRCATATTTATTTAATATTTAATCATTAGTGCATTTTGGCATATTAAAAATTAAAATTGTTTGAAATGTTGCCCCACCCAAAACTCACCTTAATGTTTCGCWAATTAAAACAACTGTGCAATACAGCAATTATGTGTTTGTTTGAAATATGTTTTTCTTGGGAAGATAGTGAAAATATAATAATTTAATAAGGAGTAATACATATACAATAAGTAAGTAATGTAGTTGAATATTAATTTTGAAAACGGATGGATTGGAGTTTTGTATTTGGCCACTGCTCAAAAAGTAGTTGATTACGCCACTGCAGTCTAACCGTAGTGAATATTATTTATGCAGTCATGTTTATTGTCTTTGACTGGTATCGTTTGATTCTTTTACGCAGTGGTTTATCGCTGGTAGAGCGATACGAGGACAATCTGCCCAATCTGGCTGTCAAATTAAACGCTTACGAAAGATTACACCAAAGGATCCGTCTTCAGATTTTATTTAGGGATTAGGTTATTATTTAGTGATACGGGAGGTCCGGATTTCTATTGAAGGCGAGAAGGCAATAAAAGAAGATTATGTTTCGTTAGTTTTATATTTTTCTACCATTGCTCTCCACAACGCTGAATCGTATTCGTATATATATTAATAATATATTTCATGGGCTAATTTTCGGCTCACATAAGGTCGTACGCGGCTTGTGTCTTATTTACAAAAACTAAAACTTTAATTTTTTTCTTATACATTTATAAAAAAAAAAAAATTGTTTTTAGCATATAAGTATAATTTGTAATTTGATATGTTTTTTTGCTGTTAGCAATCTTTATTACTTTTCTGTTATAAAAGTACAGATTAGATCAAAATGATCAAATTATTCAAAATTATAAAACATATTTACAAATATTTTGCTCTTGGTATCATTGCATGTATATATATATATATATATATGCACTTATATATGTACTTAACTCGTGAACATAATCATGTTGTCGCCCTTGATATATTTTATAGACAATTTCGTAACATTTCTGCGATAATATCGATGTGCCGTTGTTATATAGTATAGATATCATTATGAAATTGTGTCATTATTGTAGCATAGGTCTCAAGGGACTTTAGGAGTATCTCGAGCGATGATTGAGTGGGGCCATGTCACTACTCCGAGGGATTTTCGCCATTATTGGTAAATTATCGGAGTTATTTATTGTAAACGCGGACTGTGAATGTGCGGTTTTCTGCGTTGGATTTATTGTTACAGGTACCTTATAAAGCCCGAAATAATATATTATTCTTGTAAAACAAAACCACGTTTTGCTGAGTACCTAATAAATTGTGATTGCAAAAGACTTATTGTTTGAACACGGAATTTGTTTGTTACGATTTTTAATTACAAATCAAGTGTAAAACACGTATACGTACGGATCACTGTATAGTCCCGACTTTAGAGTTTTTATTTCACAGTCCTAAAGCATAATATTATGAGGCCAATTTTTCATAAATATTATAACTCTATAAGCAGCATATA